CATTTTGAGCCACAGCACCACTTGTAGTTTTCTGGTAGTTAATTGGATATAGGACTCTCACAGACTTTTTTGCCTTGGCTGGCTCTGAACCGTGATCATCGGATCTCAGCCTCCTAAGTACCTAGGATTATAGGTCTGAACCATTTGCTCCCAGCTTCTTTTTTCTTCACTATTAAAAAATGTTTTAGGAGCAGGTGTGGTGGCATACATCTGTAATCCTAGCTACTCAGGAGGCAGAGATTGAGAAGATCAAAGTCTAATCAGGAAAAAGGTTATCCAGACCCTCATCTCAATCAATAAACTGGACATGATCACACTCACGTCTGTAATTCAAACTACTCAGGAGGCAATAGTTGGAGGATTTCAGTCTAAAACCAACCCTGGGCAAAAATGCAAGATTTTATCCAAATTAAAAAAACAAAAACAAAAAAGGCCAGGAATGTGGCTCAAATGGTAGACTGCCTGCCTAGTAACCACAAGGCCCTGAGTTCAATCCCCAGTACCAAAGAAAAGTCTTGCTTTTTCCTCTTTTGTTCTTTTTTTTTTTTTTTTTGGAGGGGGGGGGTTGATCGTGAGGCTTGAACTCTGTTGAACTCTGTACTTGGGCGCTGTCCCCGTGCTCAAGGCAAGCGCTCTACCACTTGAGCCACAGCACCACTGCTGGTTTTCTAGTCGTTTTTATTGGAGATAAGAGTCTCACGGACTTTCCTGCCCGGGCTGGCTTTGAACTGCGATCCTCAGATCTCAGCCTCCTGAGTAGCTAGGATTACAGGCGTGAGCCACCAGCGCCCGGCTTCCTCTTTTGTTCTTATTCTTCAGTACCTTTTAAATATCTTTACTTCACTCATTCTTCTCTTTTCTTCTTAAAAATGTCTGGTACTTTGCAAGTCTCCAACTTGGCTTACCTGGCTTAACACTGAAAAGTATCAGATAACCTTGCCTTTAGTTAGACTCCCTGCAAAGGACTGATGAAAAATGTTTAAAGGTGCTGATAATAGAGTCCAAGCCTACTGATGGCAGTTTATTACATTACCAAGTACTCATGAGTTTTCTTACGTTGGCTTGTTGAATGTAAAAAAAATAACATAATTCAGTAAACTCAGATTAAATGAGTACAATTAACTGCAGGTAAATTTAAATGTTAATGTATGAAGCTAAGTAACAGAAGAAAACAAAAATTAGGAATATCTTCATAATTGTAGCAGCCTAAGAAATGCAATTTGCATAGTGGTTAAATGCACAGATTCTAAGGCTAGAATGCCGGGGTTTGACTGGAGCTACATCTCTCCTTGAATATGACACTGGGTATCTTTATTGTCTTTCTTCTCTTCAGTTTCCTCATCTATAAAGTGAAAGACAGTTTTTCCCACACAAGGCTGTTACAAGGATTAAATTAATTTATAAAAAAACCACATAGGGTCGGGCGCTGGTGGCTCATGCCTGTAATCCTAGCTACTCAGGAGGCTGAGAGCTGAGGCTCATGGTTCAAAGCCAGCTCCGGCAGGAAAGTCCATGAGACTCTTATCTCCAATGAACCACTCGAAAACCAGAAGTGGTGCTGTGGCTCAAGCGGTAGAGTGCTCACCTTCAGCTGAATTGTGCAGGACAGCGCCCAAGCCCAGAGTTCAAGCCCCACAACCAACCAAAAGAAAAACAAAAAACAAAAAAAACCCACATAGGATCAGCTGCAGCTACTTGGGAAATATAAATAGGAAGATCACAGTCCAAGCCCACTCTAACCAAAAAAAAAAAAAAACCCTAAAAAATAATGAAAGCAAAAAGGGTTGGAAGTGTGACTCAAAAGGTAGAAGCATCTTGAATTCAAAACAACACTGAAAAAAAAAGAGAAAACACTTAGATCAATTCCTGATGACAACAGTAAACACGTCAGTTGCTATTACTCCAAATTATAAAAATGAATAGTCAAGGCTCCAGAAACATGTTCGCTTTTAGAAGCATGAGGATTTCAAAATAATGTTTATTTTGATTTTTAAAATTATCTAAAATGTGGTTTGGATCACTCCAATCACGCTTTTGGCTTAAAAACTGATTAATGACTGTTTAAGAAAGAAACCATTTTGTGCAACCCAGTACGTGTGAAATTTACTAACAGGAGATGTTTGACTGCCATACAAACCATTAAAGAAAATCTGAGCATGATGTTAAATGCAACTCTGAGACACATGCTTTACATTACTGTCTTACTACTTCTTGAATTCCTGGCATAGGTCATTGAAACACACAGACTCCTCCCTCCAGTAGTCATTCTTGGTTATTGCTTTTGACTTAGATAAATGACTTTCTGACTAACTATTGGGAAACAGTTTTTAGGCTTTGTGATTGTTATTCAAAGTGATAGCTGTGGAACACTGTCAAAATATCTTTAAAATTATGCTTTTCAAAAAGAATGGATCACTCCTTTGAAAATAATAATGGCAGGCTGACAGGATCCTGATATTAGAAAGGAAGTCTGTGAGCTCAGGGGTGACATTCACCTGCCAAGACAGAGAAGTCTGTTCCTGGAGCAAACTGGTTTTGCTTGATTCGTTCTGCTGAGTAGTCTTGAGTTTCCACAGTAGGAGCAAAGGGTATGGGGCAGTGTCCCAGAAAATTGCTTTTCCAGTCAGGGAAGAGATGCCATTTCCACCTTTCTACATTCATAGCCAGTTTACAGATAACTTTTTACAGGTGGCTTTTTTGGATATTCAGGCATGAACTCAGGGCCTTGTGCTCTTCCCTGGCTTTTTTACTCATGGCTGGTGCTCTAGCATTTTAGCCACACCCTCAATCGCAGCTTTATTAGGAAGTAAGAGTCTCCAGGATTTGTCTGTTCAGAGTGGCTCAAAAACTTGATTCTTAGATGTCAGCTTCCTGAGTAAATAGGAGTAACATGAGCCACCAGCACTCGCCTATGTTCTACTTTTAATAATAGTTCTGAACAAATTTTTTTACCTTACAACTAATTTTATTTTATTCTCTGTACATGAGTTATGGCACCTTTATTCAAAGAGATAAAAGAAACAAACAAAAATGAAGTACAAACCAGCAGTATGAACTGACAGGATGTTTCAGAGAATTAGAACTACAGAATTTGAGAGGCAGCATGACCTGTGGAGTAAAAACAGGCTTACATTTTGACTAGCAGGTTTGTAGCCCTCTCTTGTACATTTCTTTAGTTAGCAGCCACTTAATACCTATTTCCTCAACCTTAAAGTGGGGAACATTATTAACCGTGAAATCTTGCAATAATTCAGTTAGATAATATATATGGAAAGGGGGCTCATCTTCTACTAGGGAGACAAAAAAAAAAAAAGATGCTCCAACATTCTATGCAATACTCCTTTGACCCTGGAAAAGAACCAGAACACTAAATTTCCATAATATGATTAAGTAAAAGAAATATGATTAAGTAAAATAACATTTCAGGTTTAAAATGAATACCAAGAGAATACTTCATAGGCAGTTGGGGACCAGCAATAACTTATCCTCAATCTGCTTAAATAATTACCTTGGCTATAAATTCTATGGTAATTAAAATCGCAAAATACAAAATTTGCAGATCTTCCTAATAGAATAACATCTGTATAGACAGAGAAAAAGGGGTGGGCACGGAAAAAATCTTTCCTCAATCTTTCCCAAATTGTCCATAAAGGGATTTTTATACTCATGTGACTAGATAAAAGGTATGTATGGGGAATAACTGCTTTAAGTAGTGTGGATTTAGGTCCAGTTTCTCGACTTGACCCCCAGGAAAGAAGTCTTTAGGATGGAAATCTGACTTAGGAAGAGAGGCTGAAGCCAGTTCTGGATACCAAGTGTTACCTGAAGAGGTAAAAGTTACCTCGGAAGCATGGCCTAAGGGGGTGGGGGGGCCATTAACATGTGATTTTTTTTTTGGGTCTGGTCGTGGGGTCTGAACTCTGGCCTGGGCGCTGTCCTCAGCTCTTCAGCTCAAGGCTAGCGCTCTACCACTTGAGCCACAGCGCCACTTCCGGCTTTTTTACTTTTTGCTTATGTGGTGCTGAGGAATCGAACCCAGGGCCTCAGGCATGCGAGGCAAGCGCTCTACCACGGAGCCACCTTCCCAGCCCCCAGCCACGTTCACTTTGTACATGGAAGCGGGAAGGAGCTTCCTTGGAGGCCCCACAGCCTGGCCCCGGCCGCGGGGGGATTCCTTCCACACTCCCGGGCACCGACGGGACAGCAGATGGCTTCCTCAGAAGCGGCCCCCGCCCGACTCAGGGTCGTCTCTCCTCTTCCAAAGTGGTTTCCGGCGCGCCCGGGGCGACTCGGCACCCAGGACCCGGGAACGGGCACCTCTGCCCCTGCATCGCCGGGGTGGCGCGGGGTGCCGTCCCGCAGGCCTCGGCGCGGGGCCGCCCATTCCGAAACCCAGCCCGGGAGCCTCGGGGAGGAAACGGCTGCTCGGCTCCGGGGGGCGGGGGGGGGGGGGAACCCCCGGGGGGGAGGGGGGTGTGCTTAGCTCCCCGCCCCCCAGATCGATCCGTTTCTGTCAATCTGCCCAAATAAAAAGAAATGATGGCGGCACAGGAAAGCAGGTTTTCGCACACAGCATCCAGCTGGGTGTGGTGGCACCCGCCCGCGTGGAGGCTGAGGCGGGAGGATGACTTCAGTCCAGGAGCTCACCAAGCCGGGCCAACTAGGTGAGACTTTTAGTCTCAAAAAGAAAAAAACAAACAAACAAAACCAGCACCTGAGAACCCCAACGGTAAGGACCGACCACCTCACTCACCTGTCAGCGTGGGGGGCGGGCACGAGGCCATCCCAAGGGATGTAGAGTGCGCAGGCGCACGCCGTTTCCCGCCCGCCAACCACGCCTCCTCCGCACCGTCACGCCGCTGGTCCCGCCCACCTCCCTGAGCGGCCGCGCCCTCCGGTCCACAGCTTCTCCCAGGCCCGACGTGCCTGGGCCTGCGTTGCGCCTCCCAGCCCCGGGCGTCGCTGTTCCGGTGGGCGTGGGCGCTCGGGAGGGGGCGGGAGGCGGGGTGGAGCGGTGGGGGGGTGGGGGCGTTGTCGCTACGACCTAGGGCCGGCGGCAGCTCGGTGGTCCTGGAGCTATGGCCGCGTCGGTCTTCTGCTGCCTGCGGTGCTGCAGGGACGGCGGGACCGGCCATATCCCCCTGAAGGAGATGCCGGCCGTGCAGCTGGACACGCAGCACATGGGTAAGGGCCTCCCTTCCCCGCCCAGACCCCAACGGCCCGCGGAGGCTGGGCCCGGCGTGCGGGGGGCCCGGTCGGGAGGATCTCGCGCGCCGTGAGGCGGCGGCGTCTGGACGCCCTGGGGTTCCCGCTGGCGGACTCGACCTGGTCTGGGTTCTGTGTTCAAGGCTGCGCCGCTGGTGGCCGCGGCCGGCGTCGGGAGCGGGGCGGGGGTGTGGATGTCCCCTATCTCCCCGCTCCCCCCCGCCCAGGTCCGGACCCGCGCGATTTCAGAAGGCTTCAGGGTCTTCTCTCGGGTGGTGTCCCCGCGGCCCCATCCTAGAGAGGCTGTGGCTTGTTTTATTGGAAATAAGTGCCTCTCGCCTCCCAAAGTCAAAACAAGGTAGATCGCACACGCCTCGGGCTGCACCTGCGCGCAGCCCGCCCCACGTCCACCCGGCCTCCCGCTGCCCGACTCCTTAGTCACTGGAGTTTCATTTGACTGGCTCGTGACCAGCAGGTTACCAAATGAAACAGGGCTCTGGTCCCTTGCACCCATGGTTTTTCCGGCCGGGGACAAATGGCCGGACCATTTCTCATCCCACGTTCTTCCTCTCCCCTCTGTCTTTTTTTTTTTTTTTAAACCACGATGATTATTTCTCTTTTGAGACGTTTCCCCTATAGAGTTCGGTGCTTCTGGAGTATGCTCCTAGCCGGAGAGATTTCCCAGTTATCCTTAGTTCAGTCAGAGTACTGGCTTTTGTGGATTGTTTTGTAAGTGTCCCTTGGCACTTTGCATTTTCACAGTGAGTTCCTCACATTTGTAACAAAACTCTGTTCTGCTCAGATTTGTGTGTGTGTGTGTGTGTGTGTATGTGTGAGATTCTAGAAACACATTTCTATAGCTTATACTAAACTAAACGTGATTATTATCACCTTGTATTTGGATGTTTACAATACTTTCAGTTTTAAGATTTCCCAAGTGCAGTATTTAATAGGATACACATGTAAGTATATACATAAATAATGTATGTCTTTAAATTATTTGTATCCATCATTACTTATAGACAGTGGATACTCAGATTCTGTAATTTCCCTCAGAAAACATTTCTATTTCAGGAACTGGAGGTGTAGCTCAAGTGGTAGTGCATCTGTCGAGCAAAAAAGCCAGAAAGATTGCAAGGCCCTGAGTTCAAGCTCCAGTACTAGCACCCAATTTTTTTTCACTTATTTAGTGAGCTGATATTTAGTTATTGAGTGACTATATAGTGGTAGGCATTGTTCAAAGTGCTGGGGATATAGTAAAGGACAGTTCTGTATAGCTCATGGAGCATTTGGGCAACTTTAGCTCTTCTTCCTATCTCTGCTATCAGACTCCGGCATCACTGAAGTCTGCTGTATAGACTGTTCTTTTTCCATGACCTCTCCTCTAGGAAGAGCTAATCATTGTACTCACATTTGCCTTTCTCCAAAGCTTCCCAGCACCCTTCAGGTATGAACTGGATGAATTAGAATAATTGCATGTTCCAATCTTCTTTTTGTATGGAAGTTTTCTTCTTTTTTTAATACTTCTTTTCTTTCTTCCTCTCTCTCTCTCCCTCCCTCTCTTCCCCCCCCCTTCCCCCCCTCTCTCGTTGTTGCTGCAAGACCAGGACTTTGTTCATTGGGTGGCGCGGTACCAACTGAGCCATATCTCCAACCTGTGGAGGTTTTTCCCTTAACCAGTCTCCCAGTAAATTAAAACTCTTTAATCACAAGATTGATTTGAAAACCTGAGAGGAGACGGGTATTGAGTTAGAAATGCATGTTTCAAGCATGAGTTGACCTTAAGTTGAAAATATAGGAGGCACACTGAATAAATATGCATATATTTGAATGAGTGAAAGGTTGTATAGGTAACCTAAAGAATGTAACTGCCGTTGTTGTTTTGAGAGGGAGTCGCACTGTGTTGCCCGGGCTAGGCATAACTCATGGGTTCAGACTGTCATCCCACCTCAGCCTCTGGAGTAAACAGGCCTCCAGGTGTGCATGCCACTGTGTTCCCTTCCTTTCCTTCAAAAAAAAAAAAGTCTAAACATTTGCAGCTGAATGCTACCTCTTTCATAGTACTCACATTGATGATGTTACATTGCATAAAATCATTTGAGTTCCTCTTTTAGATTTTTCTGTGGCATGGTTATATATAGTCTGATCTTAATTGTGAACTGACTTTTTAGAAACAAAAGCCTTCAAAGGTAGCTAGTTACTTTGAGCCAGGTCAGTGTCTTATGCCTATAATTCTAGCTACTCAGGAAGCTAAGATCTGAGGATCATGGTTTGAGATAGGAAAGACTCCTATCTCCAATTAACAACCAGAAAACTAGAAGTTGAGTTGTGGCTCAAGTAGTAGAATGCTAGCCTGGAACAAAAGTAGCTCTGCGAGCCAGATGCTGGTGGCTCACATATATACTCCTCACTACTCAGGAGGCCGAGATCTGAGGATCGAAGTGCGAAGCGAGCCCTAGCAGGAAAGTCTGTAAGATTCTTATCTCCAGTTAACCCACTAGAAAACCAGAAGTGGATCTGTGGCTCAAAGTGGTAGAACAACTAGCCTTGAGTGGAAAAAGCTCAGGGACAACACCCAGGCCCTGAATTCAAGCCCCACAATCCACAAAAAGAAGCAGCTCAGGGACAGCACCAGGCCCTGAGTTCAAGGATCAGGACACACACACACACAAAGTAGCTCCTTAGAAAAGGGTGCTACTCATCTGGAAAGTTCTGTGGTACAGGTGCAGTGGCTCATACCTGGAATCCTGAGTACTTGGAAGGCTAAGATTGGGAAAATCAAAGTTTGAGGCAGAGAAGTTCAAGAGACTTAGCTAGAGTCATTCTAGTTAGGCTGAGAAACCTGACAGTGAATGGTGCCCAAGTAGATGATCTACAGGAAGCAAGCAAGACCCTTTCTCAAAATAACGAGGGGGCTGGCGGGTGGCGGGGAATGGAGCTATGGGGTTGGAAGCATGGCTCAATTGGCAGAGTGTTAGCCAATGAGTGAAAGCACCAGGTACCAAGTTTGAGTCCTGGTCTCAGACCTGGGGGAAAAAAGATGAGGGTGGAGGCATAGTCAGCAGCTTGCTGCTAGGCCTTGCCTAACAAAGTTCAAAAGTTCAAACTCCAGTTCTACAAATACATACACACACTACAAATCACACAGGTGTGCACTTTGAGTATCTGTGTAATTGATAAAGAAAAATAGACTAATAATTTGCAAACACCCAGAATATTAAATATTATTAAATATATTCACCTTTCTTTTTTTTGGGGGGGGGGTCCGGTCATGGGGCCTGAACTCTGGGCCTGGGCGCTGTCCCTCAGCTCTTCAGCTCAAGGCTGGCACTCTATCACTTGAGCCACAGCACCACTGCTGGCTTTTTTCTTTTTGCTTATGTGGTGCTGAGGAATCGAACCCAGGACCTCATACATGTAAGGCAAGCACTCTACCACTGAGCCACCTTCCCAGCCCCTATTCGCCTTTCTGTATAAAACATTTTGCTCCCTAACAGAATTCTTTGGAGATACTATTGAAATAAGAGGGTAATAACACGCTCATGGTTGTTTCTATAATTACAACTCACAGAGCAGACTATATTGTATTGAGAATCTTCTGATATTTCTATTATTTTAGTACCTTAGGATGAAATCCAAGATAATAACTTATCTGTTATAGATGGTGGTTTCATTTGTGTGGTGGATCATAGACTCATTAAAAACAAAGCAAATGACATTTATTTGCATAATCCTTGGAAATGTGTTTTATTAAAGGTACTTTCCATGTTTAGTAGAAAAAACTCAGAACTGTTTAACCAATGAAAGAAATTTATTAGTCCATTTACCTGAAAAGTACAAAAGCAACACTGGCTTCAGGAAAGACTCAATGCTGCTAAGAACACAGTTTCTGTTCACTTATTTCCTCTGTCTTCTGCTGATTCCTGAAAGCTAGTTCCTGGGATCACTTGCAGGAGGTTTCCTGAGTTGCAAGCATCCTCATTCAGGTCCAATAATAATGAGAGTGCCTTTATCCCATGGCTGTCTGAAAAAGTCCTGAGACTCTCCTTGTTTGTTAGGTCATATAACTGTTGTTCACCCAATCACTGTAGCCAGGAAATGTGAATTTACTGACAAATTTGACCTGGATCAAAGGTTATACCTTTAAAGCCCAAGCTTCCTTGGAGCTATTTGATCTCCAGAGGGAAAGTAAGTCCAGAAACCACGAAGTGCTTAGCACAACTTAGTCACTTATTCATTTTATTCTTGGTCATTTGCTGAGTATCTGCAAGATGTCAACCTCTACAGGGTTTTGGCCATTAGAGAAATTGGAACTACAGGTATGCAGGGCAGCCAAATTCTTTCCTAGAATTTGGGTTTAAATATGTTTAATTAGAAAAAAATGGGTGCTAATGGATTTTTTAATATCATAAAATAAGTTCTAAAATTTACCTTATAAGAGAGTATCTTTTAAGATGTTTTAGAATCTGATATATTTTGCATTTCTCTTAGGTATTTATCACAAATAATTTTTGGTTTAAATATCAATTGAACCTTTCTTTTTTCTACTATTCTAGTTTTATTTATCCTCCTCTAGAGGAGTCCCATGTAGTTCTAATATGCATATCTACACAGCTTGTAGACCCCCTTTTTTTTTTTTTTTTTTTTACCAGGAAAGGGGTATATTGTCCACAGGCCCTGGGAGTCATATGCCGGGTATAAAAGGTTATTTTTTGTCTAGTGCCAGTGGCTCTTTTTTCTTAAGTTAACCAGCAAAAAGAATGAAGTAGAAGTATGGTTCGAGTCCCAGTACTGCCTCCATTCTAAAAAAGGATATTTTTACAAATTAGAATTTGTTAAATCTGTTCATCTTCTCTGATGTATATTAATTATTTCCTAAGATTCAGAAGTACATTAATAGTAGGATCACATTATTTTTCTTGCTGTCTACAAATACCATATGAGTTAAAACTAAAACATTGTTAAAAAATTTTCTTACGCATAAAGTGCATTTAGTGATGTTTAAAACCTTGTGTACAGCTGGGTTTGGTGGCACACATCTGTAATTTCAATTTCATGGGAAACTGAGGCATGAAGACTATAATTTGAACCCAATCTAGGCTATATCAAGTAACCCTGTGTCCAAACAAGCAAGCAAATAAAGAAAATAACCATTATTTGCATATTGTCCATGTGGTTGACAGTAACTCTGTTAAACTTTTATGTATGGTAGGGAGGTACAGGTTCTGGGGCTTGAACTCAGGGTCTGGGTGTTATGCCTGAACTTGTTTTTGTTTTTTCCTTAAGGATAGCACTCTCACAACTTGAGCCACAGCTCTACTTATGTCTTTTTTGGGGTAGTTAATCTCCCCCTTGAGACTATAAACCACAATTCTCAGATATCAGCCTCCTGAGTAGCCAGGATTAAAAGTATGAAAAAAAAAAAAAAGTATGAGCCACCGGTGCCTGGCTTCTATTAAATATTTTTAATCCTTGTTAAACAAAGACCCCAGAAATGAGCATTTTCAGTGTGAGCTCTTTCCAAAGATGTGTGTACTCTTCAGCTCTTGGCTAATAAACTTGCACAGTGCCTTATGCTTGTACACAGTCAGCTGATTTTTTAGGACATTGTTTGCATGCATCTGGATAGTGGTGAGAATTGTTGGGGTTAGAAGCATTATTCAGCTGGTAGAGAGCTAGCCATTGAGCAAAAGCAGCAGGTATCAAGTTCTGGTCTTGGACCTATAAAAAAGAATTGTACCTATTTATGGCTTGGCTTAAATTAAAAGATATATTCAATCATCAAATTTGTTTATTGGTTAAAAATTAAAGGAGTTACTCTGTTTTTACTTTACAAATATTTAAAATATTTGGTATATTTCAGTTAATACAGTTTATTTGAAATAGCTTGATTAAACAAGACTCATAGCTACAAATATTATATAAAATGTTCTCTAAAATCAGTAAATTGAAGATATAAAATATTTATCAATATCTGTACTTTGAAGTATGTGTATATATATATATATATATATAAAACCTCCTTATTTAATAGACTAAAATAGTTAGAAATAAAGAAACTAACCCTAAATGTTAAAAATGAAAATATAAAACTTTGTGTCTACTTTTTTTTTTTTAGGAACAGATGTTGTCATTGTAAAAAATGGAAGAAGAATATGTGGAACAGGAGGTTGTTTAGCTAGCGCACCTTTACATCAAAACAAAAGCTACTTCGAATTCAAAATACAGTCCACAGGTTAGTATTATAGTGGTACTTTGCTATTAATCTTCCTAGTTGTTCCAAATATTAAGAGTAATTTGAGGCATAGCTCAAATGGTAGAGTAACTGCCTAGTAGGTGTGAGGCCCTGAGTTCAATCTCCTGTTCCAGAGAGACAGACAGACAGAGAGAAAGAGAGTAAGGAGGGAGGGAGGAAAGAAGGGAAAAAACAGGAGGGGATAAGAGAGAGAGGCAGAATAATTTAATATATATGAAAAGACTGAAAGACTAAAAGTCAGAAATTTACTCATAAGTCCTTGGTCTTCCACTCATGTGTGAGTGGGTTCACGTATTTTTTCTACAAAATTCAGATTACAAGAGCTATCCTTTCTGCCTCCTAGGAGCCATATCTATGAAAGTGTTATGTGTTTTTTTGTTAATTGCCAAGGTGTTGTACAGAGGGGTTACAATTGCATAAGTAAGGTAATAAGTACATTTTTTGTCGAACTTGTTACCCCCTCCCTCATATTTCTCCTACTTGAAAGTGTTTTAAAAATACTTGCAGACAGAGTTCTGTCTTAAGATGTTACTGTCCTGTGAAATTACTATTGTCACTTCCTAATGACTCACAGTTATATCCCGTGGGAGGATAAAGTATAGGGTCAAATTATTTTGGAGGCCAAATAGAGACGTCTTTACGTACAACTTTCTGATGGTCTCAGTCAATCCAGAAAAATCAATGTATTAGCAAAATGATCCCTTCTTGCATATTTAGAATTTCTCCCTATTTTAATAAAAACTGAGAAAGAAACAATTTGAGACCAAATCAAATAGCATAGAGAACAGCTGCTCTGAGGCTATGTTTCAGTGCTGGCCTAGCATGTGCAAGGCCCTGGTCAGGGGCCAGCACTGAAAGGATACGGGGAAGGAAAGAGAGAGAGGAAGAATATGACCAACTTCTTATTCCAAATGTCAGTGTAGACCAAAAGGCTTTAAACCCACCAGCTTAAAGGATCAGGTAAGAAAATTATTTCATATGGTTAATTTTCTTTTCTCCAGGATACTGTTCATAGCATGTACTATTTCTCACTTGTTATGAATTTTAAAACTAATGTCCATAATCTCTGACTTCTCAGAGATAAAGCTTGAAAGAACTGCAGACCACTTAAATTTAGTGGTGTTTCTGCAGTGGTGGTCATGTTAGGGGTAGGGCAATAGGAGCGAGAGCCAAACCCAGGCCTTCTGTGTGTTAGGCTAGTGTTCTACAACAGATATACAGGGTACCCTTGAACATAGAACTTTGGCATCCTGGCTCTGGTAAAAAGGCAACAGGAATCTGAATAACCAGGATACATTTTTAGTAATAAGACAAGGCCATGGCATTGCATTTAAAAAGATAGGATAGATTAAAGAAAGATGTGGGAATTTAAATTTTTTTAATTATACTGTCATCTTCTCTTTCCCATACCTTTCAAAATATGAAGGACAGTTTTTTTTAATTTTTCAATTTTTTTCTCCTAAAATAAGAGAGAAAAGGCATAAACCTCTTCATATGGCTAAAAATCTTAAAATCTTCTAAAAAGAAAATAATGAAAAAATAGCTAACATTTATGTGTGTTTTATGTACCCCTTTAGAGTGGTTAAATATTCAGCCCAGGATAGCTTCGCTAAGTTATTACGTAAGCCTTGGTAATAGAACTTCAGGGCCCACTGTGCTCCTAAGCTGTATTTCATCTGTGGAAAACATCTTGTACTTTGCAATATACTTTTAAAGTATTTTTTTAAAAAGATGAACAAAATAGCAGTTTACTAATAACATGATACTTCTTATTTAAAAAAAAAAAAAACAGTTTAAAAATAACTGCATTAGCTAGGCACCGGTGGCTCACACCTGTAATCCTAGCTGCTCAGGAGGCTGAGATCTGAGGATCTCGGTTCAAAGCCAGTCCGGGCAGGAAAGTCTGTGAAACTCTTATCTCCAATAAACTACCAGAAAACCGGAAGTGGCGTTGTAGCTCAAGTGGTAGAACACTAGCCTTGAGCTGAAGAGCACAGGGACAGCACTCAGGCCCAGAGTTCAAGCCCCACGACTGATAGACCAAAAAAAAACAAACAAAAAAACAACTGCATTTTATGTATAGGCACAGATTTGGAGGACATTTAAGCTATTGTATTTTTAGGAATCTGGGGTATTGGTGTTGCAACTCAGAAAGTTAACCTGAATCAGATTCCTCTCGGCCGAGATGTGCACAGTTTGGTGATGAGAAACGATGGAGCTCTGTACCACAACAATGAAGAGAAAAACAGGCTGCCAGCAAACAGCCTTCCTCAGGAGGGAGATGTGGTGGTGAGTCTCCAGGCACTGTTGCTGTCCACTGTATACATGGTTTTGCCTGGGAGTTTTTAGTTTGTAACCCAAAGCCCCAGGATTGAATCAGATGAGGTAGTGCAGTTCCCAGAGAGCACCACTGCCTCACCTCTGCCCTGTCTGTATAGAATTGGGGGCAGCACAGGACATCAGGGAGAGCTTTTTTATTTGCATACAGGAGGGTTGTGACACGTTCACTGCCAAGTAATAGTTTCTACTTACATCGCATCAGAGAAATCTTGACACAGTTTTTTAAAGTTTCCTGACCTTATATTAGGAAATGTTAGATATTCTTTTAAATTTTTTGTATTGTTACAGAAAATTTTCACATTTATTTGAACACCTGTTAGAGAATTTTATCAGAAGTATTGGTCTTCACCACATTTAATCTAATTAAATTTCCTCTACTTTTCCAACTCTTCAAAGAACTTGATGCAAAACCTTAAGACTTGATTATAGAATAGTAAGCCTTCTCTTTTATATCTCTTTAACAATCACTGTTGAAAAATATCATCCAAAGCCCCTTTCCTGTCTTTCCAGACAACTATTCCCATATTCACCAAGAAATCTTGTCCACAAGAGTCCAGGCTTTTAGCTAGTGATTGTAAACAGTAGTAGTGTCTCATTTAGCCAAGGCACCCTTGCATACAGAACCTTGGTTACCTGGCTCAGTGAACAAATCCAAGGTATTAAATAAAGATACAGCATTCTAGAAAGTTTAGGGAAATTATTAAAATTTAAAATTATAAATTATGATCTGATCTTGTCTCTATCACTTAAAAATACGAAGAACAGTTAGCTTTTGATTATTTGTTGTTTTTCTCCTGAATGGAAGAGATACAAGGTGTAAACCACTTTGAAAAAAATCTGCTTCTCTGTTTTTTTTTGGGGGGGGGGCATGAGGTTTGAACTCTGGGCTTAGATGCTATCCCTGCGTTCTTCAGCTCAAGGCAAGCACTCTACCACTGAGGCTGAGAGCTGAGGATCATGGTTCACTGCCAACCCAGGCAAAAACGTTCATGAGACTTTTTTTTTTTCTATCAGTTGTGGAGTCACGAGACTCTTATCTCCAAGTATTCACTGAAAATCGGAAGTGGCTTTGTGGCCCAAAATGGTAGAGTGCTAGCTAGCCTTGAGCGAAAGGGCTCAGGGACAGCAACACTTAGGCCGTGAGTTCAAGCCCCATGACTGACCAACAAAAAAAGCAGAAAAAGAAAACTCAAATAGTACCCTACCATATTAACTTACCTTTGTACTTCAAACACTTGTGAACAAAGTGTCCGAAATTGTTGACAGTGTCATAGGAAAAGGAGATTGGATGACAAGACCAGAAAAACATTATTTGGTATAATTACAGCAGAGTCAAACCCTGTCTCTAAATCATATAAAGGGACAAAATAAGTTACAAAAACATTTGAACTGCCGGAACTGAGGATTGTAGTTCAAAGCCAGCCAGGGCAGCAAAGCCCATGAGACTCTTATCTCCAATAAACCACCAGAAAACCAGAAGTGGCACTGTGGCTCAAGTGGTAGAGTGTTCGCCTTGAGCTAAAGAGCTGAGGGACAGCGCCCAAGCTCAGAGTTCAAGCCCTAGGATTGACCAAAAAAAAAAAAAAAAAAAGCAACATTTGAACTAAATTCAACTAGAATTGTAGGGGTTCTTAAATCCTTCCTCACTTCTTCTTGGCTTTGATGTTTTGCTCTTGTGCTAGGGACCTGGAAACTTTCTTGCCTATAATAGATTATGCTTGCTACTGGGTGATAAAGAATGCCTGGAGTATAGCCTGCTAGATTTTTTTTATGGTCCCATAAAGAGAAAGTAACATACTTTCCTTTTTATATAATTGCAAATTTGTTTTTCAAAAAGTAAAAGTAAACTACTTTGTTTAAGAAAATTGCAGGCAGGCAAAGTTAACTTTATTACATTTAAGTAGATAAACTTAAAATGAAACCAAGGCAATCTACAAACTGTTTAACACCACCTTTGCTAAAATTCGAGGAGATGTATAAAGCATTATTAGCACATTGCCTTTTCTGGGCCTAATGTTGTCTTACCTGGAGAAGAGAAGAAGGTGATCCAAGATCTTTTTTCTACTTCTAAAAACTTTAAAATTATATAATTGACCCATATTCAATATGCAATTGAAAGATAACTGGTATCTGTTATTTTGTTTTGTGCCAGCCCTGGGGCTTGAACTCAAGGCCTGGGCACTGTCCCTGAGCTTCTTTTGCTCAAGGATAGCACTATACCACTTGAGCCACAGTACCATTTCTGGCTTTTTCTGCTTATGTGGTACTGAGGAATCAAACCCAGGGCTTCATGCATGCTAGGCAAGCGCTCTACAACTAAGCCACATTCCCAGCCTGGTGTCTGCTGTTTTAATGGTCCTGGGAATCAAGCTAGGATCTCATACATGCTGAGTGCTCTACCACTGATACGCATTCCTAGCCCACAGTATCTATCCTTAGTTCTTCAAAGGAACTATCTCTTTTGGCCACCAGTAGTAACCAAAAGAGAATCCCATACCTAAAATGGTTGAAACCCGAAATATTTCGGGGTTTTGGGGATGTTGGAATATTTACATATATATATATATATATATATACATATATATATATATATATATATATATACAATGAAAATTTCTGAGGATGAGACCACATCTAAATATGAAATTCACTTAAGCTTCATTTATACCTATCTACATAGCCCGAAGGTAATTTATACGATATTTTTAATATGCCTGCATTTTGACTATAACCCATCATATGAGGTCAGCTAGGAAATTTTCCACTTGTTTTGTCAGAAAGTCTCACATTTTGGAGCATTTAGATTAGAAATGCTCAACTTGTAAAAAGTTTTAAGAGAGAGGTAGTATGGTATAATGACTGAAAGCAAGTATTGCCATGTGCCAGTGGCTACTCAGGAAAGAAACTGAGATCTGAGGATCCCAGATTGAACCCAACCCAGGAAAATAAAGCCTTGAGAGTCTCATCTCCAGTTAATTAGCAAAGTAGAGGTAGAACTGAAGTGGTAGACCACCTGCCTTAAACAAAAGGCTAAGGAGAAGAATTCAAGCCTCAGTATCAGTATGAGATGAAAGAGGGAGGGGGGGAAGAGAGAGAGAGAAAGAGAGAGAGTTTTCTTGGAATAAGTTCCATAAAGACATTCCTTGTCGGCGCTGGTGGCTCACACCTGTAATCCCAGCTTCTCAGGAGGCTAAGAGCTGAGGATCATAATTCAAAGCCAGCCCATGCAGGAAAGTCCATGAGACTCTTATCTCCAGTTAACCACCAGAAAACCAGAAGTGGCCCTGTGGCTTACATAGTAGAGCACTTGCCTTAAGCTGAAGAGCTGAGGGACAGCGCCCAGGCCCAGAGTTCAAACCCCATGACTGACACAAAGAAAAAAAAAGATATTCCTTGCTACTTAGAAGCCAGTAGCAAACTCTGCTGGTAAAAACTACTCTGCTTCCCCTAGGAAGATCTAGTTCTATGGAGGGCATTGTTTTCTTGTATGAATTTAAAAGTCTATCCATGCAATGCAGCACTGAAGTCTCTTAATATTCAAAGTATAAAAGTCAACACTAGGGAAGGTGTCTCAGTGGTAGAGTGCTTGCCTTGCATGCATGAGGCCCTGGGTTCGATTCCTCAGCACCACATAAGCAAAAAGAAAAAAAGCCGGAAGTGGCTCTGTGGCTTAAGTGGTAGAGCTCTAGCCTTGAGCTGAAGAGCTGAGGAGTAGTGCCCAAGCCCAGACCGACAAAAAAAAAAAAAAAATGCTAATTGTTTTAGTTCCATCCAAATAGAATTGGAATTCTTCCAGATTTTAAATCCCTATTGAAAAGTGTTGGTTCCCTGTGCTTTGTTTTTATTTTTCTATGATTTCCAATCAATGCTTTCTGGCTATCCATTTTTTTTATGGAACATGTACGTTTTTATCCTTTTAATTTTTTTTCCTTTGTAGGGTATTACGTATGACCATGTAGAATTAAATGTGTATTTGAATGGAAAAAACATGCATTGTCCAGCATCAGGTATACGAGGGACAGTGTATCCAGTTGTGTATGGTAAGCTGAAATGTTTCTCATCTATTAGCAGATAACTTTCGTTTGGCATATGTATATATATACACATATATATATGTATGTATGTATATGTATATACATGTATATAGTATCTCAGGGGTGTTGGTTTGTAGTGCTGGGGTCAAACCCAGGACTTCACACAGGCTAGGCAAGCACTCTAACACTAAGCTGTATCTCCAGCCCAATTTTTTTTTTTTTGGTTGGTGGTGGGGCCTGAACTCTGGGCCTGGGCACTGTCCCTCAGTTCTTCAGCTCAGGGCTAGCACTTTACCACTTGAGCCACAGCACCACTTCCGGCTTTTTCTGCTTATGTGGTGCTGAGAAGTCGAACCCAGGGCCTCATCCCAGCCCCTCCAGCCCAAATATTTTTGAGCCAGTATCTTAATATATAGAGTAGGTTAGCCTTGAACTCACAATCTGCCTACTTTCACCTACCAGGTGCTGAGATTCCAGGTAAGCATCAGCATGACCAGCTCACCAGCCTAGATTTTAGACTTATCATAAATTGTTAATAACTTTTATCTAGAATATACTCATTTGCAGAATTAAGTGGAATATTCCCTGCATACTGAAAAAGTTTGCTAAATATAAAAGAATTAGATGATCAGGAAGTGTAATTGTAAAGAATATTTTGGAATCAGGAATGGAAATTATATGTGGCTTGAATTTTTACTAGCTTTGTTGTTGTTGTTATTATTGTTGATTGTGGGGCTTGAACTCTGGGCCCGGGTGCTGTCTCTAATCTCTTCAGCTCAAGGCAAGCACTCTACCATTTGAGCCACAGTGCCACTTCTGGTTTTTTGGTGATTAATTGGAGATAGGAGTCTCATGGGCTTTCCTATCCAGGTTGGCTTTGAACTGCGATCTTCAGATCTCAGCCTCCTGAGTAGCTAGGATTACAGGCATAAGCCACCGGCGCCCAGCTTCTTACTAGCTTTTTTTTTTTTTTTTGGTCCGGTCATGGGGCCTGAACTCAGGGCCTGGGCGCTGTCCCTCAGCTCTTCAGCTCAAGGCTAGCGCTCTACCACTTGAGCCACAGCGCCACTTCTGGCTTTTTTCTTTTTGCTTATGTGGTGCTGAGGAATCGAACCCAGGGCCTCTGGCATGCAAGGCAAGCGCTCTACCACTGAGCCATCTTCCCAGCCCCTTACTAGCTTTTTTTTTTTTTTTTTTTTTTTTTTTTTTTTTGACTTGTTGGTATAATTTATTATAATCACTACATATATAGGTATATATTCAAAAGACAAAACTTTGGAAGCTAACACACCAAACCACATTTTTAAAAAACTGTGGCAGAGGATAAGAAATAAGGTGACAGTTTTACTTCATTATAGGTTCTGATAATGTTTTTTTTTTTTTTTTTTTGACAACACAGATTGTCATTTTATTTTTGTGAATCCAGTATTTTTTTTTTTTTTTTTATTGTAAAGCTACTATACAGAGGGTCACAGTTACATGAGTGAGGTTATGAGTACACTTCCTCTTGAACATTGTTACCCCCTCCATTGTTTTCCCCCTACCATCCCCTCCCTCCCTCCCTTCCCCGAGGTTCTTTTTTTTTTTTTTTTTTTTGATTGTGATTAAATGATTACATAATTTCAAAGTCACAAGTTCATTCTAACTTCCCTGGAGCAAATTGTCTACCACAGTCTGTAATATATAACAGTGTTCACATGTTATATACCATATTTGTGATCAGCAGCATGAGGATATTTAGTAGTGGTTCAACCAGATGAGCGGGAGTTCTTTGTTTCTTAAGTCCTGTTAGTTTTGTCGTATCACTAACCTTTTGGATTTAGCATCCACTTATGAGGGAGACCATGTACCGTTTGTCTCTTCGTTCTTGGCTTACCTCGCTCAACATGATTCCTTCTAGCTCCATCCATTTCCCTGCAAATGCCATTATTTTGTCATTTCTAATGGCTGCATAATATTCCATTGTGTATAGATACCACAATTTTTGGATCCATTCATCTGTGGTGGGGCACCTAGGTTGTTTCCATATCCTAGCTATTGCGAACAGTGCTGCAATAAACATGGAGGTGCACGTGTCCTTGTATATTGGTTCCTGTTGTTCAGGGTAGATGCCTAGAAGTGGTATGACTGGGTCGTAAGGGAGGTCAATCTTTAGCTTTCTAAGGACCCTCCAGACTGCTTTCCAAAGTGGTTGTATAAGTCCTTACTAGCTTTTTAAGCTTATCTAAGTGTTTACTCTCTTCTGAAGTTTATAATGGTAGCCCTGTGTGCATAAGTGCTGTCACTTATGTACAGGTTTGCCCCTAAGACTAAATTGCTTTCTGGAATCAGTGGCTCACACCTGTAATCCTAGCTACTGAGGAAGTTGAGAACTAAGGACCAAGGTTCAGAGCCATCATAGGCAAGAAATTTCATGAGACTTTTGTTTTGTTTTGTTTTGGGTCTGGTCATGGGGCCTGAACTCTGGGCCTGGGCGCTGTCCCTCAGCTCTTCAGCTCAAGGCTAGCGCTCTACCACTTGGGCCACAGCGCCACTTCCGGGTTTTTGGGGTTTTTTTTGCTTATGTGGTGCTGAGGAATCGAACCAAGGGCCTCAGACATGCAAGGCAAGTGCTCTACCACTGAGCCACCTTCCCAGCCCCTCATGAGACTCTTATTTCCACTTAACTACCCAGAAAGCCAGAAATGAAGCTATGGCTTAAGTAGTAGAATGATAACTTTGAGCAAAAAAGCTCAGGGACAGCACCCAGTCCCTAAGTTCAATTCCCAGGACCAACAGACAGACAGACAGGCACATATACACACACCTACACATACAAAAGAATTAGATTACTTGGGAGGTGACTTTGTCTATCTTTATTATTTTCATTTTTATTATAGTAAATTTCAGACATGTAGAGCAGAGCACACTATAATGGAACCTCATGTACTCACCACTCAGCTTCAGACAATCAACTTGGAGCCATTCTAGGCTCCTTTGCCACCCTTACCCCCACCAACACTTCTGTCATTTGCCTCCCCTCCTTGCGGGAATTGCCAGGCATTGCAAATACTTTATTGCTGAAAAAAATTAAGATCTCTGTCTTCTTTTTCACTGAGACAAGCTGGGTAAGGGATACATAGGACTCCTTGTAATATTTTTGCAACTTACCACTAATGAGTCATTTTCCTAAATAAAACATCTTAATTATATGAAAATAAAAAAATACAGATAGGCAGGTAACAAAAAAATTTAGGGCTGGGAAGGTGGCTCAGTGGTAGAGCGCTTGCTTTGCATGCATGAGGCCCTGGGTTTGATTCTTCAGCACCACATAAGCAGAAAAAAAAAAGCTGGAAGTGGTGCTGTGGCTCAAGTGGTAGAGTGCTAGCCTTGAGCTGAAGAGCTGAGGGACAGTGCCCAGGCCCAGAGTTCAGGCCCCACAACCGACAAAAAAAAAATTCAAATTACCCATATTCACCCCATCTTGGGATAATTATTAATAATGTTGATATATATTCTTCCAGTATTTCTTTATTGTTGGTGATGGTGGTGGTGGTGGTGGTCATAGGGCTTGAACTCTGGGCCTGGGCTTGAGCTCTTCAGCTCAAGGCAAGTGCTCTACCACTTGAGCCACAGTGCTACTTCCAGTTTTCTGGTGGCTAATTGGAGATAAGAGTCTCGCAGACTTTCTTTCCTGAGCTGGCTTTGAACTGTGATTCTCAGATATCAGCCTCCTGAGAAGCTAGGAGTACAGGTATGAGCCACTAGTACCCAGCTTCTCCCAGTATTTTTGAAAGATTTTGCTTTTGATTGTGACTATTTTTACATAATAGGTTTGTGACTTACAGAAGATGTATTTTTTTGCATTGCCTATTAATATTATAATATTGGGAAAACATTATTTTTAATCTTTATTTTCAAATGTTTTTTTCCGGTACTGGTGATGGAGCCCAAGGCCTCACACATGCTGAGCCAAGTACTCTAATATGGAGCTATTGCTGCAGCTTGAAAACAGTTTATCTTCTAGTTTTTATTCAACTGCTTTTCTAATTCGTTTTCTCTCTTTCTGTCCTCTAGTTGATGACAGTGCAATTTTGGATTGTCAATTCAGTGAATTTTACCATACTCCTCCACCAGGTTTTGAAAAAATACTGTTTGAACAGCAGATCTTCTAAATAGATTTGTTTTTGAAACTTGTACTTCTTCACTGTTACAAGTATTTCCCAGTTAATAAAACTTTACCTGGCTATAGATAAAAATATATTCTTTAAAACTTGCTTGTTAATATTGTCAAAGGAACCATTATATACAATGTACAACTCAGAAGTTTTAATTTTAAATACTTATGCTTTATGATATGAAAATCTGCATTGTGGGCAATTTATTTAATTCCTATTTAAATAAATGTAACTATGAGTGATTAACAGTATTTAGTGACAACATGTATATCAGTATTTAAAGGGAATCTTTTCTTATATATAAAATGTTTGTTTTGATAGAGATGTAAAATTGAGTTGTTTTTAATATCACTTTGAACTTTAGACCTCTAAGTGTATTTAAGTCTGCAGTTTGATACTTTTTGTCTCCTTGTCCATTTTTATACACAGTATAACAAAACAACAAAATTTATTAGCAATTTCATTTTGGTCTTTTTACTGTACTCATGTACCACTTTTCTTAATACTTTGATTGCCTATTCCTTTGTGGTGTGTGGCTGCTTTTGACTTGCTTTGTTGAAGGAGATAAGTGTTCTAGTCATTGTAAGAGCAAGCAGTGGCTGATTGATGATATAGTAAGATACTTTAAATTTAAATGAGATGATTCTTTGAAGGACTTCTATTTAAATATGTATTTTCTATAAGGAACAATAAAATACTAGTAATTAAGGAATATTCATAACATATTAAATATTCTTCCCATCTTAATTTATAGAGGACATTCACTTTGCCTTTGACTATTTTAGAAGTTCAAGGATAAGCAAGTCCTCCCCATTAGCCTGATACTTGTCCTTACCATTACCTTTAGTTAAAACTCCACTGACCTGATAAGGTACTGATCTTCAGGTACATTCAAATGAGCATGTCACGATGCATACCTTTCACTCCTTTAATCAGGTAGTAACTTAAGTTGACTAGATTTGCAGTTGTGTTGCCTACTTCCTTGTTTCCTCAAGAGAATTCCTCAATACCTGGACTCCTAGGTTTCCCCACTTATAAAAGGGACAGTTATGCTTATCTGATAGGTTCTGTCTAGCCGATAAGGGTAGTGTACCTGCGCCTTACTCATCATAGGCCCTGCACACATGCAGTTTCCAAGTTGCAGTGGAACAGTGTCTGCTGGTGCGCGTCTGGCCAGCAGTGGTGATGGCAGTACCTCAGAACTTTTGAGTTCATGGACAGTCAGGCCCCAGCCTAGACCCCTAAATCAGAAAAGTTGAGGACAGCACCAGGCATTTGTTTTTGAACAAGCACTTGGGTGGACTTGATCCTCACCCAAGTTAATCACTGTGAAGGAAAGAACCACTGAAAGATTTTTCACAATGAAAAAAGAAAGAAAAAAAAAAGAACCACTGAAAGGAGAGAATGCTTCAGGAAGAATTACCTGCTATATATTTTGTACAGATTTAATATGCTATTTTTGCCCTATAAGCTAAAGAATTCTGCGCAATGCTTGGTTACTATTTTGGTAGATAAAAATGTGACTGCTTTGAAAACAGATATGCTTATGTACCATACATATTGACATAAATCCCACATTTTACCTCTGTGAAGATCTATGAAGTTTAGGTATATATGTTATTTATCCATGTTCATCGGACTGTCCGTAATTTTTGTAAAAAAAAAAATGTTTCCATAGGGAAGTGACTTAAAGTGGCTACTGTTCTCTGTCTATATAATGTTATCTACCTCTAAGTTTTGTTTTTACAAAGCCAAACTTTATTATTCTGCTTTGTAATCATACAGAGACATAATGCTTGACATAGTACATGAATTATATCTATGGTAATAGTTTGAAGTCTAGATGTGTGTTGAATCTGTAGGTAATAAATTCCTCTTAGGATGATTACACTGAGCTGCTCTTCCTTCCAAAACTCATACCTTAGTCTAACAGTGAGCAAATTACAAAAAGATCATTGTACAAACCATTTGGTAATATCCTTCAGTGCTGTCAAGGAGTAGGCTACACCTGTAATCTCAACTATTTGGGAGGAAATCAAGAAAATCTCCATTTGAAGCCAGTCTGGATAAGACCCAATCTCAAAAAGCCAGTTGTGAACATGCAGGCTTGTAATCTTAGCTACAAGGGAGGTGCAGGTAGCAGGATCACAGTCTGAGGCTTGCCCTAGCAAAATCTGGATAGAAATCTATCTGAAAAATAACTAAAGCAAGCCGGGCGCCAGTGGCTTACACCTATAATCCTAGCTACTCAGGAGACTGAGATCTGAGGATCATGGTTCAAAGCCAGCCCTGGCAGGAAAGTCCATGAGACTCTTTATCTCCAATAAAAACCACTAGAAAACCAGCAGTGGCACTGTGGCTCAAGTGGTAGAGCGCTAGCCTTGAGCTGAAGAGCTGAGGGACAGCGCCCAGACCCAGAGTTCAGGTCCCACAACTGACCAAAAAAAAAAAAAAAACTAAAGCAAAAGGATTGATGGAGCCGGGCACTGGTGGCTCATAGCTGCTCAGGAGGCTGAGATCTGAGGATTGCTGTTCAAAGCCAGCCTGGTCAGGAAAGTCCATGAGACTCATATCTCCAGTAAACCACTAGAAAACTGGAAGTGGTACTGTGCTCAAGTGGTAGAGCACTTGCCTTGAGCTGAAGAGTGCAGGGACAGCGCCCAAGCCTAGAGTTCAAGCCCCATGACAGACAAAAAAAAAAAAGGATTGATGGTGTGGCCCAAGTGGTAAAGCATTTACCTAGCAAGCATGATAGCCTGAGTTCATATCCCAGTGCCAACAAAAAAGAAACCTCAAGATCAATGAACTGCCACACTCCAGTACAAGTGTAATGAGACATTGTGAGTCAATGTAACCTGATGTCCTGTGTGGGACCAGGGAACAGGAAAAGGACATTCAGTAAAAACAAAGGAAACCTGGATAAATTGTGGATTTTGATTACTAATATATCAATATTTACTCAAGTATAATAATTGGTTAATAATAAGGAAGACATAAATGGAAACTATACAGTCCAATGCCCAAAAAATGTATTTTTTAATAACCAGGAAAAAATTTAAATAGGCTAACAACATAGTACAGTGTATACCCATAACTTGCCTATTAGTGGCAGCTACATATAAATGTGACATAAAGTGCTCTTGGGTTTGTTTGTTTGTTTTTGGTCAGTCGTGGGGCTGAACTCTAGGCCTGGGTGGTGTCTAGCCCTACCACTTGAGCCACAGTGCCACTTCTGTTTTTTTCCTACTTATGTGGTGCTGAGGAATCGAACTCAGCGCTTCATGCATGGGAGGCAAGCACTCTACCACTGAGCCAACTTCTCAGCCACAGCTCTTGTTTTAACACAGACACCTACTTTTATTCTTGGCCAGAAAGATAGTGTCCACTGCCTTGACTCTTGGCTATTGTCCATTTGTCCACACTAGTGTAACCTCTGCACACAAAATTATTTTCTGTGTTATTCAGTGATTTAAGCATTAAAATTGATATGCAGCGTTCAAATTTGATAAAAATATGTATAATCAATTTACATATTAAAATTAGAAAAGCAGAATTTGGGTTTTAATTACCTTTGGCTCATCAGATAAGATTAGAATGTATTTTCAAATTGGATGGCAAATTAGTATGAGTTAATTTAAGAGTGGTATAAAAATAGTAATTTGGATTAAAGCTTTCCTAAATCATTAATAGACAACTGCATGATATTTTTGCTAACATTGCTTTATTTATTTTTTTTTTTTTGGTACTGGAGATTGAACTCAGGGCCTTAGGGTTACTAGGCAAGCACTTAACCACTTGAGCTACACCACCACCCCACTTGCTTTATAAATGTAAGTCTAAATGCAGACAAGAAACATAACAAAGTATGAGTGAACTGATCATTTCCTGAAATTGATCATTTCATTTTTTTAAAAAACCACTAAGTTTGAGATGAAAAATCTGTTATCCAACTGGAAATTTTTTGTACACAGATAAAACCAAGCATAGTACTCAAAAAAGGAATATCAAATTCTACTTATATCACTTTGCATTATTTATGCATCCTGGCAAAGAAATACTGTTGGGAACTATTCACCAGTGGAAACATAGTAATAGAGCCAATTAATTAATGTTCTTCTATTTACTGAATCAGATAGGAGATTTCCTTCCAACTTGCTCTCTCAAAATAACTAGGACCAAGTTATTAAATAGTGTGCCAGACCTGATACAAACCTGTCTTACCAGCTCTCAGGAGGCTGAGGCAAGAGATTGAAAGTCAGAAGCTAAATTGGGCTACATAATGAAACTACCTTGAATGAATAGAGTAATGTGAGATACAACTAGCAGTGTAAACAAACACACTCCAACTAAATTCAAAGGAAAAATGGATGGTTGCAAGGTTATTATTACAATGCAAGCATTCGAAAATTGAGTCAATGATGTATTTTACAAATAAATAAGAAAATCTGCCCTTAAGAAACTTTGCTAGGGGCTGGGGGTTTAGCCCAGCGGAAGGGCGCCCGCCCGGCACGCGCAAGGCCCTGGGTTCAGTCCTCAGCCCTGGGGAAAAAAAAAGAAAGAAACTTTGCTAACTAAAATTCATTGATAAATACAACTATAATAACCATACAATAACCATAAAATCCCGTATGTTGATAAGGGAAAAACAGAGGCTGTAAATATAACCTCATCAATCCATTTTTTTTCAAAGACCTAGAGTCTCATGTATAGGAAGATGTATGAAGTAATGTACACCAAATTATTATTTCTTGGAAATATGATGACAAGAAGCTATTCTTTTATGATGTGGTAAATTTAAAAATAGCCTGTAATAGCTGGGCACAGGTGGCTCCTGTCTGTAATCCTAGTTAATTGAGAGACTAAGATTTGAGGATCACAGTTCAATGCCAGCCCAGGCAGAACATCTGAGAGATTCTTAACTTCAATTAACCACTAGAAAATGGGAAGTGGTGCTATGACTCAAGTAGTAGAGTGCTAGCTTGAGCTGAAGAGCTGAGGGACAGCGCCCAGGCCCAGAGTTCAAGCCCCATGACTGACCAAAAAAAAAAAGCCTGTATGGCTTTTGAATTTAAAATGATTTTTAAAAATCAAAGGACTAGGTGAGCAAATGCAGCAATATACTCACCGAACACTATGTTGAAAATAAACTATACTGGGAGGGTGGGGAGGGGAGGATGGGAAGGAGAAACAAAGGAGGAGGCTACAATGCTTGATAAGAAATGTACTCATTATCTTGCCCATGTAATTGCAACCCCTCTGTACAGTATTTTCACAATAAAAAAAGAAAAGAAACTATACAGGGCTGGGAAGGTGGCTCAGTGGTAGAGCGCTTGCCTTGCATGCATGAGGCCCTGGGTTCGATTCCTCAGCACCACATAAGCAAAAAAAGCCGGAAGTGGCGCTGTGGCTCAAGTGGTAGAGCACTAGCCTTGAGCTGAAGAGCTGAGGGACAGCGCCCAGGCCCAGAGGTCAGGTCCACGACCAGACCCCCCCCCCCAAAAAAAAAAGAAAATAAACTATACAACTTATGGGTAGGAATGAGGGGGGAAAACTGGGAGAGAGCAAGAGGTGGGGGTGGGACATTGTTCAAAAAGAAAAGTACTCATTACCTGACTTATGTAACTGTAACCCCTCTGCACATTACCTTTATAATAACTTTTTAACTCAAAGAACTACTCAGTAGATCTAGAAGATCTAGGTACAAGCTCGGCCTGGACTGTCTCCAAAATAACCAGCAAAAAGCTAGTCTGGAGGCTTGGTTTATATGGTAGAGTGCCAGCCAAGCAAAAGGAAACCAAGCAAAAAGGCTGAGTTCAAACTTCAGTACTGCCAAAAAAAAAAAAAAAGTGTCAATGAAATCCTATTATTAGGAAGGGATTTGGAAAATTAAGCAGTTATCTTTGTCTTATCTATGTAAGGAAGCTTGCCACTTGCACTTCAGGTTACGGGATAAGTTCACAATAGTCTCGGAATAAATACAGGAATAAATACAGGAGGTGGCTAGGAGAAGGTGAGGCAGTCAGCAGATCAGTGCGAAGGTGGAGAAGGGCTCTGATTTCACCTGTGCAAAATCATGGTAAACTCTGATGTAGAGGGTGAACTTACGAGTTTGCTTCTCAGTTCTCTGAAACTAATGAAGTTCCAACCCTTGAAACTTAAAAAAGAAAGAAAAGAGTGCTTAAAGGCAAAACAGTTGATATTTCCACACTATGTTAAGAAATAGGGTGCTGGGTTCCAGTGGCTCATGTCTGTAATCTTAACTAATGAAAAGACTGAGATCTAGGATCATGGTTCAAAGCCAACATAATGTCAACTATATAAATACAAAGAAATAAAAACTTAAAAAAAAAAAAAAAGCTAACAGATGCAGAAATATCCATGAGACTCCTATCTCCAATTTATCACCAAAAAGTAGAGCTCTAGTGCTGTGATAGCACACTAACCTTGATCAAAAAAGCTAGAAGATAGGTCCTCCCTGAGTTCAAGCCCCAGTAGCTGCTCCAAAAGAGAGAGACTAGGGATCAGGGAGAGAAAAGAGAAGGGAAAGGAAAGGAAATAAGGATTGCTCCATTGAGAAAAGGAGCAATGTTTGCAGTGCTGACACTTGAAAACAGGTCTTGCTCATGCTAAGCAAGTATTTTGCCACTCAGCTACATTCCCAACCCAAGATATACCTTTTATATTTTGTTTTGTTTGTCAGTTATGGGGTTAACTCAGGGCTTGAGTGCTGTCCCTGAGCTCTTTTGCTTAAGGCTAACACCCTACTAATTTGAGCCATAGCTTTACTTCCGGTTTTCAGGTGGCAAATTAGATATAGGACTCTCATGGATTTTTTCTGCCCTGGCTGGCTTTGAACCATGATCCTGATATCTCAGCCTCCTGAGTAGCTAGACTTACAGGTGTGAGCCACCAGCACCTAGCCCAAGACATACTTTTGAAACTAATTGTGAAAAGCGAAGATGTCGGAGAGATCTCTTGTCCAAATCCACACTTCACAAATGGACAAAGTGGCCTGAATGAAGTTAGGTGTCTTAGCCAAGGTGACATAGCAAAATCTAAGTATTTCAATATTTATCTATTAATTGTAAGCATTTCATCCGTCAGATACTGTGTGTAGTTCATTCTACTATGCTATATA